CCTCTCTCTCTCTAGTGCTTCTTTGTTGGTGGAATTTCATGAGCAATTCTCCAAATAAATTTGCGGTAGCACTTCGATGGAGACACGGACCACAGTCTCTTCCAAATTCCCTCAATTCGTATAATGTAAATGATGGCGGCCACACAAATCAGTGGGGACTCAATATTCACATTCTAACTGGTAGGCTGAACTTACTGAAAATGTCCCTTTCTTCTACGTAGACCAGATAGCCCTGTTCTCGGGAATTTACAGCAAAAGCGATATTTAAAAAAAAATATCACGGTACTAATAAGCATGGGCCATCACATTATGGAAATATTTTGCTTTCAAAACTTTTTCAGCAAAAGAGTCAGGACTTTGGAGGAGCCTCCACCTTTGCTTGGCAAGCATAGCACGGGTACTAAATAAACTCTTTGTTATATCCAAACCGAGAGATGCCACTGTTAACTAACTCTCTCTTTCATTTTTAAACCACACAAGTTGGATTTGACTACTAAAGTTTAAGCACCACTACAAATATATAAGAACGTGTTCTGCTTACTAGTGGAATTGTGTAATAAGGATAGAAATCTGTCATCATGAAAGCATTATAACCTTTATGTAATAAGGGTAGAAATCTGTCATCATCAGAACAAATCATGTGTAAGCTGAAACAAGCTAAAAAAACCACAAACAGATGTTTGAAGGGAAATTTTATATCGATTAAATTCCTGAATCAAGGTCTTTAAATTAAAGGATGAAAAAACAGAAAAAAAAAGTAAGAAACAGATACCAAAGAATGGCAGCTAATCATATAATGGAAGTCAACAGTAAGTATTATCCCGCAACGAAGGTTTCAGGTGGCTGATGAAGACATGTCAACGAGACATTTTAAGAGCAATAACGTAGCATACTATATTATAATTTTGAGAGTATCCTAATCACAACCGCTATATAATCTAAGATCTTGGTAAGTTATGATGATCATCTACTGATCATCTACTGATCGTATCTTTGAATAACTCCCTTTCAGAGTTCAAATTATCTAATAAAAAGGGGAAATTTTTCCTAACCCCTAATACCATCTTAACTTTATTGGGAGATGTCAAAAGGGAAAAAGGCAAAGTCGTTACCAAGCCAAGAATTTCCTTCGGTTATCAAAACCAGAGAAGAAAAGGGTTCATTACTCTATTTGGTGCACTAATATGCAAAAGATTCATCTTTCTCAATATGTCACCGAGCATGGGTTCTAAATTTGGTCTTGATAGTGGTAAGGTAAATATAGAGCTGATTAAGCTGGAACAAAATATATGTGAAGCACAAGGTAGCAACATAAACATGACAAATACTATTACAAGATGAGACTGTGAGATTCACAAATATAAAAGTACCAGGCTTACTAATGTTCCTCGCTCATACATATTCATGAATACATCAAGACATAGACTGGCGGTCCATACATCCTTTTGTTCGGTTTTAGCTGAAGCACATATTAGAAATGATGCGTGCTGGAGAAATAATGCTTCTGGCTTTTTCTACTGAAACAAAAGCTCAGAATCTTTAGCTATGTGAATGGTCTCCATAAATCGTTGATCCTTTTGAGGATCATGTATATGGGTATATACATATGCATGTCTATATGTACACATGAATATATGTGTGCATGTATATATCGGATCTGCCATTCTTTCTCTGTAAGTGAAGAAAGAAAAGTTTGAGCTTGTTGATATGTGCGTGTAGCTATAAACTGATTAGTTCCTAAGATTTTTTTATCTTCATATTTTTTTGTAAAATTTTGATCAAAAAACCTTGTATGACTTATATAGTGCTGAATGAGCTAAGGATCGAAGCAAAAAGTGTTTCAACCATTGAATATTTACAACTTTTTGTAGAGCTTTTGATGTTAATATCATTGTGACAGCCAACCCCGACCTAAATAAATGTTATGGGGGGAAATCCTGTTATGAACTTATATTGCTGAAAGAACCAAGGATCAAAGCAACCGGAGGAAAGTGCAAAGCAATCGGAGACCTCAGAAGAAGGAATCAGGTGGTCCCAGTGATTGTGATTGAGATTTTTCAGTTGACATTTTCTAGGGAAAAAGATCAAGCAATGTTTTGATTTCCTTTCCTTTCTATGGTTGGTGAATTTTGTGTGTGGAGATCGTGTCTATATGCGTTTGTTGATGGTCATGGTGACAATATAAAAGAAGACAAAAAAACAGAAACTAGATTGCACATAGTTTCCCTATCTATAATTGATGGTGACAATAATGGATAAAAACAACCACTACCTCCCAAGCTTTGTCCCAATAAAGTGAGTCACAACCGTATGAAACTATGTTCCGTTCATTTCAATGATATAATGCAAATAAGATAACATTCAATATTACAAATAGTGACAAAAGTGTATGTATTGTCGAAAGCCGATGCCACACATTGAGGATATATATCATAATAACCTAAGCTAAGATTCTTAGACTTCCATCTGTTTCTGTAAGCTAACCCCAAGAAGGTTCATCATAAAGGTAGACGTTAGCTCAGATCATTTTTTATCCTAGCAATCTCAGAAGAAGGTAACTAGGTAAGTATGTTCTAAGCTATTGTTAAATTTAAGATCAATGGCTGGGTGATGACTCAGTAATGTTATAAACTAAAGCTTGAAAATATGTTCAAGAACTAAGTTACCCAACTCAGGCATGATTACTGGTGATGCATCTGAAAGTCATACTGCAAAAATTACAAACTTTCCCCAAATTTCTACAGGTCCAAAAAGTGGATGTAGAGATTAAAAAATTAACCTCGCAAGTTTCAACGACAGACCTAAACTAACCTTACTTCTCCTAAGAGAACATTCAGATAAACGCTGTTTGATGAACAGGCAGGAGTAAAATGTCGAATGAAAAACAGACGGACACAAACAGTTAGGTGTAAGCATTCTTGCATTCGGGGTAAGATGCTACATAATAACATGTAAGTATATAATTTATCTTGGTCTTCTAAAGTGTTTGCTTTAGTAAACAAATTTTATAATACAAAAGAGCATTTCCAGTATGCTAATTTTTGTTTCACATAAAAGATAAAATAAATCAGGCGCTCTTTCATCTATACAGCAGACAATATCACAGATGAGTACAGGAGAATTTGAACTAACAAATAGAAAATCGAGAAGATAATATAAGAAAACACAAATGGACCATATTTTCTAAACATTGCAAGAGAAAATCCTCCTTAAAAAAGGCAAACTCCCATTGCTCTGTACAGACAACTTCTCTAACACATGATACGTAGGAAGCTTTCTCCATCTATAGTACATTATTTGCATTGATACTATTTCTACACATACCAAAATCACAAAATCTTCACTTAGATGCTCATTGCTAGTGAACAATAAAAACACTGAACGGCGTAACAAAATTGAACAAAATTAATAAGACTTCAAGAAGCTCAAACCTTGAAGATTCACTTTGCTTGAGAATTGGGTGTCGCCAAATTCCTCATACCACCATTCAAATTGATTTGACAATCAACAACCGGAGGCATGCAATTCCCATCCCAATCAAGCATCTCGCCATTCAAACCAACACACTGCATGTTCTCATTACAAGGTAAACCACTGCACGGTTTTTGAAATGGATAAACACCCAATTCACCATCAATCTTTGCCCTTAGATCAACTAAAAGGCTCTTCAGCCTAACAACCTCCGCTTCTAATGCCGCTTGTCCTTGCAATCTCCTCGTCAACTGCTGATTTATAACCCTAAGTTTTTTGACTTCCTCTTCAAGGTAAGCTGCATGTGCTTTCTTTTTCTCCCGATACTTCCGTACAGCCTCTCGATTTCCTAAGGGTTTTCGAGGCTTTTTATGATCCTCTTCTCTTTCACCTTCGGCTGATGCAAACACTTGGGTGTGGGTGTGGTAGCATGTGTGGGTGTGGGCGGGGGCCGTGGGGCCCGGGGGGTTGCAGGTGTGGGTGTGGGTGCATGTCGTGGTGTTAGTCAAGAATTCATCGAAGGTGTTGGACATGTCGGGGTTTGACATAAGCAGGTGGCCTGAAATATCAAGCTCTCCATCATCCATTCTTAGAATTTGGAGAATGAACTGAAGAGGCTTCCAGTTTTCCCCATCTAACAGAAGATTCGACAAAAATTCTAACAATTTGAAGCTCTTAGCTCGACCATTCAGTGATTTACTTTAAGAACTCTAGGCTATCAGTCCAGTCGAACCTCACGAGGTCAGAGTTGGGGCTTAATCAAGAGCATCCTGATACAAAAGTTTAGATTAAATACTGAACCATAAAATCAGGAGTTATCAAAGGAAGTTCAACATTTCAGAGCTCATACACGATTGAATAACCTAAGCAAAACCCAACTGATTTAATCTCATAGGTAATAAATAAGGTTATCAAGGGACTGCCTTCCCAACAGAAAATTGCCAGATACAAAGACTTTAATTTGAAGAGTCCATCGAGGCTTCTACAAAAATATATTGAATTCTACTTACAAATACATGTAGAAATCAATCAGAGAGGTTCCAAAAACTTCTAGCAGTTTCCCCAATTCAATCTATTAATCTAAAAATAAAGAATTTCAGAGAATTTTGAGAAATACCCAAATGGGGAATCATGAAGAAATCTGGAAATCCAGTATCAAGGAGCGACCTTGGCGCAATACAAACCGTCGAATAATTCAAAGAGGCATCTGCTCCTTTCGTATGCGAAGAGGTAAAAAGTGCGAAAAAGAGAAAAGAGGAAACTTTTTAGTTTAGCTTTCTCCTCCCTTTCGTTTCAGAGAGGGAGAGAGAGAGAGAGAGGAGAATCTAGTAAAGATGAGAAGAGGCGAAGAAGAGGCGGTGGGTTGATGGGAAAATAGAAAGACGGATATATTCTGTTGATGTGGCTGCTTCTTTTTTCTGCAATTTCAACGGTGGGATTTTTGTTTTTCTTTTAAAAAACATTTTTTTCTTATTTCTAAAGTTTCGCATCTTGAGAAGCAAAAGAATAGCGTTTGTTTCTGTAGAGGGATCATGAGCAAACGTCAGCTTTGGGTCATTTTTAGTAGGCCGAAATAAATCAGGGATGTTGTGGGCGTCGCCCAATTTTGAGCCTGTAGGCATGAGAGCTTAGTCAAACTATGCGTGCGCCTCACATATCAGAAAGATATTTTTCTACTTAGGAGGTGTTTGGTTGTGAATGTTATGAGTTTGTTGTGAATGTTACGAGTTATTTGTAAATGTTACGAGTTGGTTATGAATCTCACTAAGGAGTTGGTTATGAAGATTACGAGTTTGTTGTGAAGGTCGGTTAACAACAATCACAATCAACTCATTGTCGAGGTTCACAACTAACTCATAACGTTCACAAACAACTCGTAACATTCACAACAAATTCATAACTTTAACAACCAACGCTTAACCTTCACAACCAACTGGTAATCTTCACAACAAACTGGTAATCTTCACAACCAACTCCTTACCGAGGTTCACAAGCAACGCGTAACATTTACAACCAACTCGTAAACTTCACAAATAACTAGTAACATTCACAACAAACTCATAACATTCACAACCAACGCGTAACCTTCACAACCAACTCGTAAACTTCACAACTAACTCGTAACCTTCAAAACCAACACGTAACATTCCTTCACAACCAACTCATAACCTTAACAACAAACTCATTACAATGAAATAACAACAATATATAAATTTATAGACTCTACTTTAACTCAAGTCATCGATTTTAAAAAAAGTTATTACAATATGTAAAACAACAAAAAATATAGCACTCAGATTCAAGTACAAATTAAAAAAGGGAAAAAATTACACTGGGAGTCGCCAGAGTTCCCGCCTTTTTCTTCGAAACGGCGACGCTGAATCCATCGCAACTCGTCATCACCGTCTTCAATATCACAGTTTCTTCGCCTCATGGACGAACACCAGGAAAGTTTCATCATCGATATCGACGTCGTTGGAAAAATTTAGAGGGAACTAGAATCAACAACCCCCCCCCCAAAAAAAAAAAAAACTCATTTCAAATCAGAGAGAGAGAGAGAGAGAGAGAGAGAGAGAGAGAGAGTATTATGGTCTTCACATGTTTTAAACTCTTAGATTTTGTGTTTTGTGGGCTCAGAGAATTGTGGCTTTGCTTTGGATGTTCTGAGAGTGTTGAAAAAGTCTTGAGGGTGGGCGGAATACTTGTAAGGAAATTGGGGGCCAGAAGCAATTTCCCCTTCTACTTAACACTTGAAATCGTAGTCATAAATATCTGTACTATACTATTTCTATACTATTATATTATTAAAAACTTAGTAAGGATAAAAAAGGGCTAAACTACCAAATTGACTTTTAAAAAAGACCCTTTTAATCGCATTGGTATTTAAAATATCTCTGATGACGTTTTGGTATTTAAGTGGGTTTAAGTTGGCACCAGGGTCCAAATTTTGGCAGGAGTTAAATTTTCCGACGAAACCCCTCACGTGACCATCACGTGACCCTTAATGACTGCTATAAAATACTAATGTGGCAAGGATTAGTGACATGAATTTCATTAACTGATCATTTGCCGCTTACATGACCCAAATACCTAATATTCGGAGATTAAAAAACCTAAATTTGACAGATTACCCCATCTTCATGTGTTTTAAAAGATCGACTGATCGGAGCGGTGTTAGGGAGATTGTGGCCAAACTTGCAGTTGCTAGTGGTCTCGCTGTAGATTTTATGGTGGGAAAGTGAAAGCGGTGTCTTAGAACCTGCAGGTACGATATCATCATCATTGAAAAGACAAAGGTGACTATATTCTGCATTTCTGCATTTGCTTGGTCCTTAATGGTGCATGCATTTAAAATTTTTTTATTAAGTGAAATTATAGTAGATGAGTGTTTATAAGTCTTATTTTTAACAAACTAGGGTTTATGTGAATGACATCGAAGTGGATTTTTTTAAAAATTAGGGGTTTTTTAAGATTTAGAGCAGAGCAGAACGTGATTGTGGTTGTAATTCATTTATGTTTTTGTTCATCTTGTAGATGGGTGTGAATATTATGGTTAAATTCAAACATGGTGGTTCTTTTGAGTTTCTAATGGCAGAAGAGTACATTAGTGGCTCCTTTGACGTGCAATTCATCGCGAAAGACATTCTGTCAATAAACTTGTTGAGAGAAAAAATTAGAGAGTATGGGTATAGTGATGCTTTCACTTTGTGGTATGGAATACCTGGTGGTGGTGTTGGAGCCGTCATGCCTCTTCTCTTAGATACAGACTTAGCAAAATTTAAGGAATATGCAAGTAAGGAGAGAGTAATTGAAGTTTTTGCAAATCATTTTGTTGATCAAGCTATTGAAGTGGATATTCCTCCAGTTAAAGATCCTCCAGTGCAAGCTAATCAGCATGAAGTTCCTGACCCCAATGAGTGCACTCCTAAAAATTTAGTGGCTTCAGAGGGAGAAAGAAGATAACCCATAAGAGAAAAAGGACAACCCCTATGAGAAAGAAAACAACATCTAAAAGGAAGAAAGAATTATCAAAAGGTGAAAATGGGAAAAATATTATCACTCAAATTCATCTTGATCAGAATGCATCTTCTATTGATGATGATGACTAAGTAGAGGATGAAACATACAAAATTGACCCAACTGAAGTGATAGATGATGATAAAGAGTTCGTTGAAAAGTCCGAAAGTAGAAGGGGGGAAAAGGTGGTGACTGATGAAGGCCATTCTAAACCTGAAGCTAATATCCCAAAGGGATATGAAAGTGATGATGTCTCAATTGATAGTGAAGTAGAAAAGGTATTGAATAGTGATCATGAAGAGCTTCATGAGATGAGAGAAAGAAATATTGCCTTGTTAGCATCGCAAAAGGGTAACATAGCTTTCAATTCTGGTGCAATGATTGAAAAGGATCAGTCAAGTGAAACAGATCCAGGACAAGCAAATGAGCCAAGTCAAGAACATGCACAACATCATGCACATGCACATCAACCAAAAGGAAATGCATGGAAATCTAGTGAACGAAATGCATATCAGCCAAATGCACTAAATTTGGAACATCATTATGAAGCAAATGATGATAATATTAAGGGTTTGATTGTAGGTGGTCCTAGAGCAAAAGGAACAATACCAAGCAATGCAAACTGGCCTAAATATTGGACATCTTATAGAGAAGGATATGAATCAGATCCGAGAGGTAGTGCTAACGAGGATGCTTTGGAACCAAGTGAAGATGAAGCAGTAGTTATCCTTGGAAGGAAGAAGAAATGAAGGAGCCAATAAAGTACAAGTTCTTCAATGAGGATGTGGACATGAAACAAGTGGAGCTAGAATCTGGATTGAGATTCACTTCAAGAAAGGTACTGAAAGAAGCTATACTCATGTATTCTATACAAAAAACACTACGATTTGATCTATATGAAAAATGACAAAAAAAGATTCATATTGGATGTTCTTTGTGCAATAGGGAGTTGATTGTTGGAGCAGATCTCATAGATAGGCTGGCATGACAAATCAAGCATGCATCCCCTACACACACATGCAATAGGACATTCAATAATAGACTAATAACTGAGAATTGGATTGCTCAAACTTACCTAGACTAACTAGTAAAGAATCCAAAAATGAAGCCAAGGGAAATTGCTACTGATATGAGAATAAATTTTGGTGTAAATGTAAATGAGAGGAAATGTGTAAGGGCCAAGGACAAGGCACTCAATGTTGTGCATAGCTTAATGCAAAGGCAATATAGATTGCTTAAGCCTTACATAAGAGAGTTGTGCAAATCAAATGAAGGCACTAGAGCTGTTCTAAAGGTCCATGATTCAGCACCAGGACAACCAGCTGTATTCATGAGAAGTTATATATGTTTTAAAGCAATGAGTTTAAGTTTCCTACATGGTTGTAGGAGGTTCTTTGGCTTAGATGTTTTCTCAAGCAGTCATGCGGAGGACAACTACTAAGTGATGTTGGGAGAAATGAAAACAACCACATGTTTCCAATTGCATGGACTATAGTTGAGGGAGAAAATAAAAACTCTTGGCAATGGTTTCTTAGCTGTTTGAATGCAGATTTGGAAATGAGGGATGGTCAAGGATGAACTGTGATGTCAGATAAACAAAAGGTATGATATAATTTAGATTTCATCTTAAATTGTTGCTAGGTTTATCAAGATATTGACAGTTTATTTATGTTCTTCCTTGATGGGGCCTTGTACCTGCCATTCATGAAATGTGGCCAGAAGTGGAGCATAGACAATGTGCAAGGCATATATATTCTAACTGGAGAAATGCTCACAATGGTAATTGGTAGGGTTTTGCAAAGACAATTTTGAAAATGTACAAAAGCAGCTACAATGGAAGAATTTGCATATGAAGCATCCAAGCTAAGGGCTCTTTTAGAGAAGGCATATGATGATTTCATGGATAGAGACCCTCGTACATTTTGTAAGTCTCATTTCAAGAAACATAGCTAATGTGACTCCCCAGATAACAATATGTCCGAAACTTTCAACTCCTTCATTTTACTTGCAAGATTTAAGCCTATAGTATCTATGTTAGAGGATAATAGGCTATCTTTGATGGAGAGGCTACAACAACAAAAATATGCTATTATATAAATTTGTTGGTGGAATAACCCCTAGAATGCATAAAAAATTGGGAGAGGCTTATAATGAACAGATTAATTGTGAAGTTCGTTGGAATGACTCCACAAATGAGGATGGTTTTGAAGTGATCCATAAACATGTAAGTCATAAACTTGACATAGGCAATAGGACATGTTATTGTAGAGTATGGGAGTTGACATGAATCCCTTGCACACATGCTGTAAGTGCAATTTTATTTCTGAGGAGGAAACCAGAGGAATATGTATCAGGTTGTTATAAGAGTGAATGTTACTTACTTACCTATGAACATTTGGTGGGCCCAATGGAAGGCTACAAATATTGGGACAAGGAAGGGGAAGGCATGGCACTGC